ACTTTTCTCATAAGATTATATTTGGCTAATAGAAACTATTTTTTTAAATTTTTTTTTACATAGTATAAATTTTGTGAATATTTTCCGCTAAAGCTTGGATGTGAATTAGCGTCCGCTTTTGTTGCATTATTGTTAAAAAATTTATTATCTTTTGCGGCGACCGTGATCATCACAAATAGTATACAAATGCACTACAAAATAAAATTTAGGCATATGTAGCACTACTTTTGATGCCGACTATAGTGGCTGCCACAGATGAGATTGAGATGAACCAATGGTTAGAATATGTGGGCATTAACTTTTCTTTTCTTCTCTATTCTCTTTGTAATTTTTCTTTCCTTTAATAACGATCACTTTTGTTGGATGAAACGTTCTAAGACTTGTTCTTAGCATAACATTCCAAGCCGGAAATTGAAGGCAATTCCAAGCCTCACCTATTCATATTAGTCATTGATATGTTTAAGAAGGGAAAATAAAGATCTTTAGAGCCAAAAATTAGTACCAGTTGCTAAAAGATCTTCAGCAGAAGTTATTGTAATGTGAGTAGACTTTACTTCAATGAAGATGCCACAACACAAAAATAAAAGGCAATTGAAAGGATATATAAAGTAAATTTCTCCATATATCACAAGGCCTTGTTCTACATTAGTTTATATATCTCGCATCAAATGTACTGAACTGGTAGTTGAGTAATTCAAAAAACAAAAGAAAAAGGAAAAGGTCAAACCACTCTATGGCACATTCTTAAACTCAATAATTAGATACATATAAAGCAATGAGAATGAGATTTTTCTCACGCTTGTTTTTGTAGGTCACTCACTAAAAAGACATCGTGTAATTTTCGTGGTTGATAAGAATTAAAGAAACAAGTAATTGAAGATAGAAACCGTGTTCTCTTTATAACGAGGTAGTCGTGTCCTTAGGAGATCTATCAATACCAGTATTGTGCTAGCTCTGGTTTGTAACGACCCGGCCGGTCGTTTTAAGTATTATAATCTCGTTTCCCTATTTACTGCTCAATTTATGCCTTACAATTGATTTATGACTTATCGGGTTAGTTGATTCGGGTCCGGAAGGATTTCTGAGTGAAATGATACGCTTAGTCTCATAATTGAAAACTTAAGTTGGAAAAGTTGACCGGATATTGAACTATGAGTAAACGACCTCGGAATTTAATTATGATGATTCTGATAGCTCCGTATGGTGATTTGGACTTAGGAGCGTATTCGAAAAATTAATTGGAGGTCTGTAGTGGAATTAGGCTTGAAATGCCGAAAGTTGAATTTTGGGAAGTTTGACCGGGGATTAACTTTTTGATATCGGGGTCAGAATCCGATTCTGAAAATTGAAATACCTCTATTATGTCAATTGTGACTTGTGTGCAAAATTTGAGGTCAATCAGACGTGATTTGATAGGTTCCGGCGTCGTTTATAGAAATTGAAAATTTCAAAGTTCATTAGGCTTGAATCTATGTGTGAAGCAGAAATGCATGGGATAGCCAGGGCACCGCGGGTGTGAAAAATTTGGCCGCGGGTGCGAAGACCGCAGGCGCGAAGAAATCATCGCAGGCGCGGACACCGCATGCGCGAGAGTTTTGCCGTGGGTGCGAATACCGCAAGCGCGAATAAATCATCGCATGTGCGGACATCGCGAGCGCTGGATTTTTGCCGCGGTTGCGAAGGCCGCAAGTGCGAAGAAATCACGACGGGTGCGAAAATCCCTGGGCAATACAAAAACAGAGGGGTTCCCAACTTTTGCCATTTTTGGTCATTTCAAGCTTGGGGGGATTGCGATTTTTTAGCAAGGTTTTCACGGAAAATTTTGAGGTAAGTCTCTTGTGATCATTTCTACTCTATAATATTGAATTATCATCGAATAATCCGACTAGATTACATGTTTTTTAGGTGTAAATCGGGGGTTTGAACTTAGGGATTTGAAAAGAAGATTTGAAGATTTGGAGGTCGAGTTGAGGACGGATTTCGGTAAAATTAGTATGGTTAGACTCGTGGTTGAATGGGCATCCAGATTTTGTAACCTTTGTCGGATTCCGAGATGTGGGCCCCACGAGTAAATTTTGAGCTAAATTTTGAATTTTTATGGAAAATTAGTATTTTCTTATGGAATTAATTCCAATAAATTTTATTAGCTGAATCGAATTAATTGTGGCTAGATTCGAGGCGTTTGGAAGCCAATTCACGAGTCAAAGGTATAACGGAGTAAAGAATTACACGGTTTGATGTAAGTAACACTTCTAAACTTGGTTCTGAGGGTATGAATCCGCGAAACACACGATAGGTGACGAGCATGTGGACGTGCGCCATATAAATTGTGTCTTGAATAAATCATGTGCAGTTGTAAATTAATGAATCATGCTATTATCTGAATATTCACCACGTGTTAGAGAAAATGAGTTGAGGCTCTTATTAAAGATCATGTTTAGGCTACGTGTTAATATTTTGGGACCCATGGGGTCGTGTTGCTGTTGAATTAATTGTTCAAAAAATATACATTTCACACTTAGTAATATTTGTCCATTGTGAGGATATTTATGGGATCGAGATGCGCGGCACAGCAGGCCTTATAGGCTTTACTATTATATGGATCGGGGTTGCCCGCCTGCAGCAGGCCTTATAGGCTTTACTATTATATGGATCGGGGTTGCCCGCCTGCAGCAGGCCTTATAGGATTTACTATTTTATGGTTCGGGGCTGCCCGCCTGCAGCAGGACTTATTGGATTTATTATTAAATGGATCGGGGATGCCGGCCTGCAGCAGGCCTTATTGGCTTTATTATTATATGGATCGGGATTGCCCCGCCTGTAGTAAGCCATATCGGCTTTATATAGCGCTTGGGCTGAAGAAGCCCCTCCGGAGTCTGTACACCCCCAGTGAACGTAGATGATTATATATATTCAGGATGGACTTCCCAGGGCATGGATTTGCCTTACTTACGATGATTATATATATTCGGGATGAATTTTCCCAGGGCATGGACTTGTCTTACTTATTTGTATTGTAATGAATTTACTTGGACATGGATCTTATCCGTATCATTTAAATTTGGGGATAAATTACCCCAGGGCTGGATTGGCCTTATACAGTACTGAATGACTGACTGTCAGTCGATATGTATATATATACGGGATGAAATATCCCTGGGCCGGATTGGCCATAAATAGTACCAAGTGATCGAATGATATTTGACTAGTATTACATGAGGTCTATCTACTGAGATGTCATATTCCTTATAGCATGCAGTAATGATCTATTTTACTTGTACTGATTTTTAACTGTTGAATTTGAAAGTATGCCTACATTTTTGCACCATAATTTATGTACTAGACTGTACCTGCGGAGATCATCACTACTTTCAGCCTACAGGTTAGTCCTGTTACTTATTGAGTTGGTTGTACTCAAACTACACTCTGCACTTCGTGTGCAGATCCAGGTATTTTCGGACACGACGACTATTAGATATCAGAGTGTTATCAGTTGGAGACTATCAAGGTAGCTGTGTGGAGTCCGCTGACCTTGTCTCTCTTTTCTTCAGTTATTGTACTGTTCTATACTTTCAGACAATGGTTTTTATCAGTCAGACGTTGTATTCATATTAGATGCTCATGTACTCAGTGACACCGGGTTTTGGGAGTATTTATATATGTATTTGTGAATTTTCTTCCGCTGAATTTAATCATTATGATATCAAATTTAAAAGATATGGGAATTTATTGAGATTGTCAGCTTGCCTAGTATTGAAATAGGTGCATCACAACAGGTTGTCATGACATTGTTATAGTCGCCTTAGCTTCTTGGTTGTTGGCTAGGACCAAAAGAATGGTCAAAGCTTCATCGACCATGCAACTACTTGAATCCATCAGCATTTTTAGCATTATAATCCCGGCCCGAACAACCCGACCCTTGTTTCCTTGATATATGCACAAATTAAACAGAACTCATTAAGTTAATCCCTTAATTGTTTTTTAGCATAAGCTCAAGGATGCGTTTATTTCCAAATATGATAGGCGGATCGCTTCAATCATAGATCATTATTTTCGAACATCAGCTCAAGAAAGTGGTAATCACCTCAGTTAAAAAGAAGGTAATTGTTATGATATACGTCAACATTTCTTGAGGGACGGTTAAGTCTAGGAATGAAATGCAGAAGATCGAAATGAATGCAACTGAGCTACTATGAACACATCTACGGTTCCTACGAAAGTGAAGTTGAGTGAGAAGGCAAACAGAGGCGGATTCGAAAACTAATTTCGATGCAAAATTCTTAGAACTAAACTCATTATAGGTTCCGATAAAATATTTGCTGAAATTTTAGTGTATTCCCACAATTATATGTCTTATTCTGAAAATCCGGAAAGTTATAAAGACGGAAATTTTTAGTTACTTTAATGAGACATAAATTAGTTTTGTGACTTTACCATTAAAAAGGATAAAATTCAATGACATTTTTGAAATTGACCCTATTCTTTTTAGTGTATTGGTCATCCATAAAAGAATAAAATAAAAACATCAGAATTTTAATTTTAGGACTTGACCATCAAAAATGATTTTTTCTATTTTTTTTTATACTTCAAGATCAGACAAGCCTGTTACATGAAATGCATCAAACTAAAACAAGCCAACTGTGAGAGAAATAATTGAATTTCAAAGATCTTTGACAAATTTAAATAGGATTTTTGTCAAGAATATTCATTTGCCTTCTATCGACTAACGCTCTTCAACATAATCTTAGGTCATGTACGTCCATTCTGTTAGTTCCAAGAAAAATTAATAGTTCGAAGTAAGAAGGTTATATTTATAATTTTTGAAGTAAATTCAGATATTAATTTCTTTTGCTCTTCTTGAAATAAAACTTACAAATCTAAAAGCTACACAACAATGCAATAAATCACAATTAATTATTTAAAATATCTGAAAAAACAGTTTTAAATCTTAACAAAAATTACTTCTAGATATGAAGTGACAGACTTCACGTAAAGAAAAGGTTGAGGCCCAATTCAACATTTAAATTACATCATAAACAGATTACCGGCAGCGCGAGGGAGATTTCCCAAATTCCCATTACCCGATTGAATAGTGAAGCCCTAATTCATCACTGAAACCAGGGGACCAAAATGGGAATATGTTTTGAAGTGTCAAAAGCATTTTAGAGAAACCCCATTTGATTAAAGTTCATTGATTTGCAGCTTATAAAGGTGAAAAGGGTAAATCTTTGTACTCAAAACTAGCTCTTTATTTTTATCTCTTGCAAATTTATTTAGAAAGATTCTGATCATTGCTTCAAGTTTGAAACTTTTTGCTTTGCTGTGGTTTTTTCTTTGACCCTTTTTGCATTTGATGAAATTCTATGGCTTAATATGCTTGTCTTCTTTACTAATTTCCTGTTTTACAGCAAAACTAGCTAATATTATCATGAAAATGCTGTAAAAAGTTTTTTTTTGAACCCCATTTTGGAATTTTGTGATTCTTGATTGAAGTTGGAATCTTTATTCATTTGTTGGGGGCTCTGTTATAATACCTTATTGTGAAAATTTGATGAAATCCTATGTCTTACGTAGTTGTTGTATGTTTTAATTTTATGTTTCATAACGATATGACGGGAATTGGAGACTATTCTGCTTGAAATTACTTGCATAGCTGGTCTTCTCTTTTTTTGCCGACTCACATTTAGAAATGCATTTTTTCCTATGAACGAATATTTTGTCGTTTGCCTGGTTTTTGGTACTAGTTGCAGTGGCAGAGCCACATAGCTCCAAGTCTGTCGGAACAATACACTGCTTAGATTGGTAAAAGTAATTTTTTATGTATATATATACTATGTATTGGATCCCCTTGATTTCTTTGTGTATTTACTTCGTTAGATATTGACTCTCCTTTCTTAAAAAATTCTAGCTCCGCTACTGATTGTTTGTCGATTCCTATCCTGTATTTGGAATTTGGTTTTGTTCCAAGATCATGATAGCTTAAGATGTATTTACTTATCGGGAAAAACATGCTTTTTAATCTTGTTTTTGAAGATGCTTGGTTAATCCTCATGCTTTTGTGTCCTTTCTTATGGATTATAATTTTACGTAGTACATTTGGCCTTAATAAGTAACTCCTTTTATATTTATTTTATTTCCTGATCAGGTTTTTGGTTTTCAAGATTGTTACCCTTCTAGAAAGAAGTTTTTGAAGTTCGTTACCTTTTGTGGCTCTGTGGTCATGTACACTACTTCATGATGGGAACGGAAGGTAAAACGTTGTTTTGTTTCTGTCATTGGGGCGGAAAGAATAAGGTGATTGCAGATGGATCCACTTAGTATGTGGGAGGTATTACTGAACAGATTATTGTGAAGACAGGCATAAAGTACAATGATTTTGTGAATGCAGTTTTTGACCGATTAGGCATTGATCCTTCAGATAAGGTCTTGCAGTTTACAGTGAAGTTTGATAGGGCCCAATTGATACGGCTGAGAGACCAAGAAGGTGTCGATACTCTGTTACAATTTAATGATGGTTTTGCCCATGTTTATGCGTCAACTTCAGAGGAGTCTAATTTTGCAGTTGCTCCTAATATGGATACCACTAGGTAATGGCTTCTTATATTGGTCCACAAGATCTTTATTATGGTAAACTTTTTGACTACCTAGAGTTTGATTGTAAATAATGTTCTATATTTTGTCATAGGGTTTAAACCACTGAGGTTGAAGCAGTCTCTCCCGGAAGTGTCGAGGAAGATCTTCTATGGTTTCTAGAAAAGCTAAAGCTTGTTGTGCAGAATCGCGAGGTCGTCATAGTTTCTGGCACCAGTCTCCCTTTTCTCTCTAGGCAAGATCTGTTCTTTCCGCAGAGGATTGTATGATTGGGTAATAGCTAGCCAGCCAGAGCAGTGGTCTAATGCCTTGTTCAAGAAACCTCGGTGTGATCAGCTGAATTTTTAGATTTACCAGATTTAATTGATGAATGGCAGATAATCTACTGCAACAATCCATCTTCTTCATGAGTAATTGCTATTTCCTAGAAATTGGATTTTGTTTCTTCAGGTGTGTGTGTATATACATATTATACATACGCCTGGTATTTTTTGGTTTAAGAGATTAGATGATAGGCTATTTGGGTTAATTTTTTGAATCCAATCAACTACTGTTATTCGGACATTTGGTACTAATTATTGGCCCATTAAATACATCTTGTGCCATTAGTCCACTTCTATTTAGATAAAAAAGTTGAAAATTTCTACAAATTTCAACGTGTCCAAAGGTTTCCTAAGAGATTTTGGGTTAAATGCTCATATTCAGAAGTTATATGCTTGAACTTTAGAGCAATTTTTATCGATTGAGTTAATACCATAAGGATATTTAAGTCAATTAATCATAGTGATCTAAAATATCAAAGACAGTCTTAACATGTTAACATTTAGCTTTCCATTGAAATTACTTAAAAAGATAAGAATAACTTCATAAATTTATGAACTGGGTTTGCAGTCGAATCCAATTAGTCAATTAATAATTAGGCTGATTATAGAAAGCAATGATATAATTTGAGGCCATGAACTCAACCAATAATCTCTATGCAACAAACTTTAGATAAATGAAGACAAATCTATAGTTTGAGTCTTAAAGGAAGAAAACTCATGTCTTTATTCATAGGGTAATGAGCACTAAAAGAAACATCATAAATAAACTACGAAAGACAAAGGCTTATATTTGCATCTCCAGCAACTTATTAGACTTGAAACCTGCAATGTCAAAAAATAATTAAGAATTAGAGTTAAACTGGTTAGATTATAAAACATCCATAATCAAAAGAATCTACAAAGAGATCAAGTTGAATACATGTACGCACTAATATATGTTCTTGTGCCTTTTCTTTATCGTAACAATTATGTATACCAGTTCTTCAATCATCCTGGAAAACCATGCTGCATATTGAGTTGACAACATTATGTATATTCTGGACAGTCCAATAATTATCCCACAACCGTAACCCATGAGAACCGCCTGCCAACTCATTATTGCTGAATCTTCTCCTTCTCCTTGATCTAGGACAACTGGTGTTGTCGCTTTTGCTAACCCATCATCATCACGACAATCTTTTGAGACTGGAAATCCACGTAATCCATCATTTTGTTGGTATGAACTGTTGTCAAATGTATCAAATTGATGTCCTTTAGGGATGCATCCAACAAGATGATTGTGAGAGAGATTTAAGACTGCAAGTGATGTGAGAGATGCTAGTTGTTGTGGAATTCCTCCGTCGATTTTGTTAAATGAGAGATCCAATGATTCAAGTACAGATAAATGTTGCAGTGTCGTTGGTATAAGACCTTCCAAGCAATTATGAGATAAGTTCATCGCACGAAGTGCAATGAGATTTCCAATGGTACTTGGAATCTTACCTTCAAATCTATTCTCTGAGAGATTGATAATCATGTTTTCAATCAAAACTTGATGAAATTCAAGATCCAATCCCTTTACTGTAATTAACAGAGATACATCATAATTATAATTAAGAAGATATTCATCTCCTATGTACCTTCTGGTTCTCATGTTCTCATCAATTATTTTCATGGCTTCGAAATTCTCAAAAAAACTTGCTGGTAAATTCCCACTAAATCCATTGGATGAGAGATCCATAATTTGAAGTTGTGCAAATAAGCTTCTATTCCTTGAATCTTTGATGGGACCATGCAACTTATTTGTTCTCAAGCTTAAAATCTTCAAATTTGGTAGAGTTCCCAACCACTGTGGGAATGTGTCATTCAACTCATTGTCACCTAAATCAAGAACTTCCAAATGCTTGCAATTGATTAAGGATTGTGGGATTTTTCCCTCCAGCTTATTCCTATGCAATCTAAAGCTTTTGAGTTGGCTACCAGTAGTAAAATTTGTTGGAATTGTCCCACTGAGAATATTGTTGCTTATATCCAAAACCTTAACAAATTCACTCATCTCACCTAGACATTGTGGAATCGTTCCCTTCAAATTATTACTTCTCAAGTCTAGATCTGTCAGTGATGTTAGATTGCAAATACTTGAAGCAATCTGTCCATTGAGATTATTATGCGGAAGGAGAAGAAATTCTAGGCTCTTCTGGTTTAGAAGTAACTTTGGAATAGGACCGTGCAGTTGATTATGTCCTAGTGAAATCTGGAACAGTGTCTTCGACTTGAATTCCTCAATCTGGCCATTGAAGTTGTTATGGCTCAAGTCTAAGTTATTCAACAATGGAAGGCAGAATATCCAGGACGGTATCCTCCCATTCAAGTGGTTTGATGACAATAGGAGTAACTCCAAATTTTTTAGTCCACTTACATTGGAAGGAATTGGACCAGTAAGGGAATTGGACGAAAAATGTAGGACTTCAAGTTGCGTCCAGCTTCTGTTAAAGGATAAGAACTCAAGTTGGTCATTGAAGTTGTTATTCTGAAGCCATAATTCCTTGATATTTCCAAATCTGAAGAAGTTGGAAATCGGTCCTTCAAGATGGTTATATGAAAGGTCCAAATGCTCTATGTGGGTGAGATTCCATAAAGGTTTAAGAATAGGTCCTGAGAGATTAGAAGAAGTCATCTGCAGTTCGCGGAGTGAAGTTAAATAACTAAATGATTCAGGTATATTACCAGAAAAATTCAAACTATTGAGATATAACTTCGTGAGAGATGTACTGCTATTCCATTTGGCCGTGGGAAATCCAACTGTGAGCTGGGAATTATAAGATAACTCAAGCGATTTCAAGTTGGGAAGGTGAAAAACTCTTTCAGGCAATGTCCCATATAATTGCGTGTATGGAAGTCGTAGAGTTGTTAAATAAGAAGAGAAATTTAGAGGAAAGTTTGAAGAGATGTTGATAGAGGCTAGCTCAAGCTCTCTTAATTGGGTCAAGTTCTTAAGAAGCAGTTCAAAATTGCGAGTTCCAAGTCTAAGCTCATATTCGTTATTGATACGAAGAACATATAATTTAGAAAGATTAGAGATTTCAGAAGGAATTTGACCTGAAAAACTTGAACTTGATAGATCAAGATGTGTCAAGCTAGACAACTCACCAAATCTAGGTGAAATGAGGGATCCGGAGAAATCATTACCAGATAAATCAAGCCTTTTGAGATTAGAGAGTTGGAAAAGGCTACTATTGGAATAAAACTTGCCTTGAAGTTGGCTGCAACTGAGGTCAAGCTCAATCACTTTTCCTGTCATTTCATCGCAATAAACTCCACCCCATGAGCAGCAATCTGTGCTTCTATTCCATGATAGTGTTTTTGGATAAGAATAACTACAAGCAGCAAAAGCATTTGTAGTAAACATCTGCTTGAATTGTAGAAGAGCAAGGGCTTGATCTTTGGGGCACAAATGAGATGAGGATAAGGGGAAAGCAAGTTGACAGAGAAAGGCATATAGCATAAACAATGATAGTTTTCCAACGGCCATTTCTGCACTAAAAAAGATCTAAACTAAGTATTTGGTAAGAGAAGAAATCAAGAAATCTTCCTCTATTCAATATATAACACAAATTAAGCCAAGAAATATTTACTACTGTTGCTTTGCAGTAGTCATTTTCAGTCAAATTTAGACAGAGAGGTAGGCTTTAAGAGTATTAACTGGTGTAGGGACCATGACAAAAACATTACAAGTCAAAATTTCAAATAACTTCAGTTTGATTAGTTAGGATAAAGAGTACTGGTTGGTCCATATTCATAAAAAAAAGTCTTTGTTTTCGACTGATATATTCATGATTATTTTTATTCTTAATAATTTGCAAAGATGTAATTAGAATGTTACAAAATTCCTATTTGGTATTTCTAGTACAATTTTTGTAGATCAAATGCTCAGAAGATTAGTTTATTTTTGCTGTCAGAATCTGAAATAGATACTACTTGTTTGTAGAGGAATCATCAATTTATATGAGATTAAACTATGTTAATTGATTTTGATTGATATAAAGCTACTCATTTTTTGGTTTTCTCCATCATACAGTTTCATTTAAGCAAAACCATCTTTTTGGAACTATCTTACACCGTTCCTTTGCATTTTAGAAATGCTGGAGAAGCTAAATAAATTCCACCCAAAATAAACATAAGGAAAAACAAAGAAAACAAAAAGTCGAAGCAAAAATAAATATAGCACAACTCGTGGTAAAGGTCACCATTAATGTTGTCACCAAAAACAATATTTCAAACTGATATAAGACCTTCCAAGCAATTATGAGAATTATGAGATAAGTTCAACGCAGGAAGTGCAATGAGATCTGCAATACTACTTGGAATATAACCTTCAAATCTAGTCTTTGAGAGATTGATAATCATGTTTTCAAGCAAAACTCGATGATATTCAAGATCCAATTCCTTTGTCGGAATTGACAGAGATACATCATAATTAAAATTACCAATATATTGATCCATCTCATTTGTCACACACAATATTATGTAAATATCTGTTTAATCTTTCATCACCAAAATTATACCATATTAACCACAAGACATTTTGGAGTGAAAAAGTTTGCTTTACAGAATTTGTATCTTGGACTCAAAGCCATTAATCAGACGTTGCAACACGCGGCCATGAACGAAGTAAATGTCGAAAGCAAATACTTATTACATCCTTGGTGTTAGTCCACAAGCTGATGGTGAGACTACTATAATGAGTAAAAATTCAAAGAAGGAGCATTATATTTATACATGTTTCAAAATCGAGCTTTGTTATCTGATAAGAACTAGAAATCAACGTCGATTTAATCCAAGCTTTGTTATTTAGAATGCTTAATTAATGAGCATTCTCAATATTATGCCTCGAAGAGGACTCGAAACTATTCATGTTTTCTAGTACGAGATCTTGTATGAACTTTTGAGCATTTGATGTAACACAACTCCTTGAGCTAATCCCTTAATTGTTTTTGAGCATAAGCTCAAGGATGTGTTTATTTCCAAATATGATGGCGCGTCGCTTCAATCATAGATCTTTGTTTTCGAGCATCAGCTCAAAGAAGTGGTAATCAGAGCAGTTAAAAAGAGGGTTATTGTTATGATATATGTTAAACATTTGTTGAGGGACGATTAAAGCTAGGAATGAAATGCAGAAGATCCAAGTGAATGCAATTGAGCTACTGTGAACACATCTACGGCTCCTACTGATCCGAAAACTAATTTTGATGCAAGGTTCTTAGAATTAAAATAAAATTCAATGACATTTTTTAAATTGACCCTAT